TGTCACAGGGATCCCGACACGAAGAGGAGGATTGCGCTCAGGAGGGTGCAGGGCTTGGAAGAAGCATGGGCGATGTTTTGAACTTGATGGTTTCTGAAAGGTGTCAGACCACGTCAAGGCTCAACAGTCATCCACGGGCATTTGGTTCCAACAAATAAACCCAACATCCTACTCTGGAAACTCACCGCGGATTTAAGTCAAATTGTTCAAGAACACGAACTACATCGCACTCATCAGTTGTCAGTTCTGGGGCATGACTTTAGGGTTTTGTTTTATTTCATTTCTACAAGAACATAATGATCACTCATTTGTATGTCCATGTTTGTGTGTCCGCATCTTTCTGGTAAACATTGTTTTAATTAGTCACTCATTAGCGTTTTCAATAGGGCTCTCAAGTCCAGTAGATTACGGGTAGTCAGTTGACGAAGATCTGGTTTACAAGAACTAATTAAATGTTTCATTGCGTTTTTGTAAGAACATAGAATAATTTTATAAAATGTTTGTAGTTTATAATTGCCGAAAATAATTTAAAGACACTTTTTTTCTCTATGTGTGCAAATGTGTGTTTGTGATCCATTTTTTTAGGACACCTGTTTACTAGCTAGCTTTACAATATGCCAAAAAAGGATTTTACCCTGACCCAAGCCGTGGTTCACCCTCTTTCCCCCCATGCTTTGTGCCCTAGTTTATAACAAAGGAATGATGATTTAAAAAGTAGTTCTGTATCTTCAGTATCTTGGTCTTCCGGAACCCTCTGGTTGGGAAGGGGATCATCTGTTACTGGTCATTTCCCTTTGGAGCGTAGCGACTCTAACAGATGGAAAGAACCTCATTGGCCGTGGAAACAGCAGAGGTGTTGCAGCCCAGCAGTGCACGGCACTGTTAGCATCTGGTTTGGTTGGTCTGGTTGTCGTCACTGTCATGCAATGCCATACAGATTGGAAGATTTGACTGCACGGATGATGGTTTTCAGAATGATCACAGCATACAGATTGATCACACAAAAGGTGACAGTCTGGGGCACACAGGCCATTTGCTTCCATGACTCATGTCATGATTACTGCTTTGTTCTAACAAGGAAGAGAACCTATTTATTTTTATTTAAGGCAGAACGCCGAAGATACATTTTTCCAATACAGAATAGATTCTTTTTAATAATAACTACAACACACGAAATTAATTTTTAAAAGTTTGACTCCACGCCCTCTAGCACCCGATGGATTATTGGCCATGTCTACCCAAGTCCACAATGTCCCCGTCATTGGAAACATCTGGAATTTTTGCACTACGTAGGAGAAAGGTCCAGAAACGATTTGGTTTTTGTTTTCAACTTGTCATTCGGATGTTTGGCGTTGCACAGACACTTCCACAGGTGGAACAGATGCCTGGCAGAAACACCTGTCTGCTTTCCAAGCCAGTGAGGTTGGGGTGAGAGGTTTGCCAGAGTTTGTCTACCTCTGGGATTTAAAAAAAAAATCAAACCAGAAGGTGCGATAGAATGGATGCATCGCAAACAATGCATTTTCTGAGTTTTGTTGTTTAAAAAAAGTTTTTTAGAAAAAGTTTTAAAAAAGGTAATAACATGGCCAATTTGTTACATAAAATGACTTTCTGTGTATAAATTATTCCTAAAAAATCCTCTGTTTATATAAAAAAAATCAGTAGATGAAAAAAATTTCAAAAATGTTTTTGTATATTCTGTTGTAAGAATTTATTCCTGTTATTGCGATATACTCTGGATTCTTTACATTATGGGGGAAAAAAAAGAAACTTTGTCTATTTTGAATGGCTGAAGCTAAGGCAACTTTAGTTTCTCTTACTCTGCTTTTTTCTAGTAGTTAAGTACTACATGGTTTAAGTTAAATAAAAGAATTCTGTATGCATTTGTGTCTCTGATTCTGTTGCCTCCCTTTCTGGAAGCATCACCACGCTTCTGTGGCAGGGAAGCTGAGCCCGTGTGGCACGTGTGTTCACACATGGCACTTGCAGTGTTCTTCAAGAAGGCAGCGCCTTGCTTCTGACAGCTGAACCGTCTCGGCATGCAAATTGCTGGTGAAGACGAGAAGCTATTCTGTTTCTCTTAAATCAGCTGGAAGAAAATCTGAATACATAAAATACAGAAATCTGTACTTCATTTTTGACCGATTTGTAGATTTTTTTCCTGTACCTTCCACTGACAAAAGTCAGGCCATGGCAGGTTTGATCTGCGTGACTCCAGGGCAGAGAGGACTTAAATCCTTCACATTTCCAATGTCCTTGTTGGGACCTCGCAGCTGACATACCTCGTCAGAGGGTGTTGGTTACTTTCCAGCTGACGATTAGTGATCTCCGCTGCCCCCAGGGACTGTGTACTATCCAGACATCACTGTCTTTGTCAGGGGAAATTATTATCATAGGAAAAGGAAACAAGCTATAAACGTTCTAGAATCAGACCAAAGATGCAGAGACCTACAACATAAGGAGGACAAGCTAGTCCTTTCCTTCGATCGTGGGAAATTACACTTTAGTAACAAAATCAGCCCATTTGATGAAGAGCCGACTAGCGAGGCATGGGTTTAAATCACCTAAACAGAAAGCCTTGGTGTTGCCCCAGGGGTTTTGCTCACCATTGTCCCCAAGTGCCTGGCACTCTGAGGACCTTCACCAAGTGTCTGATGACTGAAGGAGGCCTCATTTCCAAGGCTAGAATGCCCAGGGTGGCCTACCCCTTTCCTCGGCAGGTGGATGCTGCACTTCCGGGGTGCTGCGGTGCGCTCTGCGCTTGGCCTGTGCAGCCAGAAGGGGCAGCAATTTCTTAAGACGAAGGTGCTGGGTCTTTAGAGGTTAGAACCTCTTCCCTCTGTGCCACTTCTTAAGACTCCAAACCTAGGAGGACCGCTTCTGTATTTACCCCACAGGTCCAGCTGTGAGTCTAGACTCAGGTGTCTATTTTGTGTGGTATCCATTGTCACCGGAGGACTCCCACATCTATTCTGTCACCGGGTGTTCACAATCACCCTGAAGCGGAAGGATTTTAATTACTCTGTTTTATAGATGAGCAAACACGCAGACACGCCCGAGGCCCCCCCAGCTGTTAAATCACCAGCCCAGGACTCGGCCTTTTATGCTGTTGTTTTCAAAGTGACTCAGAACTGCCAGAACTAAGCAGGCCTCAGCGCCTACGGACAGGGGTGCCAGGCCACGTGCACAGACCAGGGTGTGAATGGGCCTCGGGCTCTCCCTGGAGAACTTCAGAGGCCGCAGAGGGGAAATGATGGGGAAGCTCAGCAAGGGGAGGGTCTGGACCTCCTGTCGGGATAGCTGATAGTTCTAAAAATGAGTGTGGCACGGTGCCAAACAGTCTGAAATAACACAGAGCCTGGCCCTGGAGTCCTTCTGCTCGCCAGTGTCCTGGGACAGGAGTCAGGCTCGGGGAGCCAAGGGCTCTGGGCAGCAGCTGTCTGCCCCTTAGTACAGAAGGATCTGATGTCCACATTAACAGACACGCGGCCAGACCTGTGCATGCCACCAGCGCCATCCCACACCCCCCCACTGGCTTTGATCTGCCACAGTGTGACTTTGATCTGTTTTGCGTCAGATGATCCAGGTTTATTTGCAAAGTGGTTCCTATAAAGTCTACTCCAAATGCATAGGTGTGCTGCTGGCCTAGCAGCGAAACGGCACTTTTTCTGATAGTGGATGAGTCTGGGTACTAGGTGACTATGACTTTTTAAAAAGTGAAAACCGGTGGTTGTGAGCACACCAATGTAAGAAATTCCCCAGAGCTTAGCTACCTTCACTCACTTCCTCAAAAAAAAAAGCAATATTACCAATGAGGCTCCCAACAGAAAGTTGCCCTAGGAAACACTGAACAAGTATAACCTTGCTGGGAGCAGGTTGGCACAAGACCCAGTGCAGTGTCATAAAGGCAAAACAAAAGATGAAACGGAAAGGAGATTCTGTATTTTGGAAGTTAGGGCTAATACTGACCATAGAGAGAAGCTGAACCCAGCTATTAACCTTAGCTTTAAGACCAAACACTCCCAGTAGGAATATAAAATGCTGCTGCTGCTATGGAAGACAGTATGGAGGCTCCTCAAAAAATTAAACATATAATTATCACTCGATCCAGCGATCCCCTCTACACAGAAGAACTGGAATCAGGGACTCCAAGAGATATTTGCACACCAATGTTTGTAGCATCATTATTCACAATAGCCGAAAGGTGGAAGCAACCCAAGCGTCCACCTACAGATGAATGGATAAACCAAATGTGGTCTATACATACAAGAGAATATTATTCAGCCTTAAAAAAAAAAAATAATGCAATCCTGCCACATGCCACAACATAGATGAGCCTGGAGGACATCATGCTAAGTGAAATAAGCCAGATAGAGAAGGACAAATACTGTAAGATTCCACTTATATTAGATACCTAGAATCGTCAAATTCCTAGGGATGGAGGGTATCATGGTGGTTGCCAAGGGCTGGGGGAGGCAGAAAGAATAGGTAGATACTGTCTAATGGGTATAGGGTTTCAATTTGGGATGATGAGAAAGTTCTGGAGATGGATGATGGTGACCGTTGCACAGAAATTTAAGTGTACTGAACACTACTGAACTGGACACTTAAAAATTATTAAAATAAGTAAGTAGTAAAGGGGTAAAAAACAGAGAGAGAAACCTCAGCGGCTCCGAAGCTGCTCGCAGGACCTGAATGCACAGCGTGGCGTCCGGGAACAAGAGCAGGGGCCGTCGCCACATCTGTATCTCCACGGGCCACGTAGAACAGGTCTGTGGGCCCAGCAAGCTGGGCAGGATCGCACAGACAGACCCACTGCATAGTCTTTTGGAAGGGAGGTTACTAGAATTTCATTTCATTGTCACGAAAGCCATAACTGAAGTTAGTTCATCCCTTGTGAAATGTCCACCTTCCAGAGCGTTCTTTCTTCTGACAATAGAAGAAGTCTTTGTGATTTTGTTGGGCTGATTCAGAATTTTTCTCCCTCTGTGTGAACTGTTTTACAAGCAATTGTGGAGAAAGCCTCTCAAAGCACCGTTGAATCTCCACGGCGGATTGAAGCCTTCATTTTGTCTGAAGGAGCCGTCCCCCAGCTGGCTGGCCCTGGCCGGATTCGCGGTGGCTGAGTTTCCGAATCGGGCTTTGCGCCGGGGCCTGCTCACTCTCCGCCAGCATTTCGCGGATGATGACTTGCAAGGCTTTCCCCAGCAGGCTGGCCGGGAGCCCGCGCGACAGTGGAGGGACGTGAATGAGTGCGGCGTGCCCGTTCCCGTGGTGCAGGGACAGGTAATAGGTGTAATCGCAGACGTATCTGCAACCGCAGAAAACGCCACATTACTTCCCTGCCCAGCCTCGGACGTGGCAGAGTGTTAGCGGCAGTGGCCATGCAACATGGCAAAGCACGGCGAGGCGACGCCACCCGGGGGACTGCAGTTCAGTTCTTCTGCCTCAGAAAGAACACAGTGTGGGGTCAGCTGGGGCTGGCTTGGCTCAGTCTCATGGGCTCACGACCAGCAAGAGGCCAGGACAGACAGGGACCAGATTCTCAACCAGCTAATCCAAAACACCTTTACCCCAGCGATCCCTCTCTCACTCGTGTTTTCATTGAGTCATTAATTTATTCATTCCTTGGGGAGAGGAGAAACTGCCGACTCGGGGGCAGAGTTTGGAGAAACAAAGGTCAATCAATCTTTACCAGGGACTAAATCAGCATCGTTAACTCACAACTTTGGTCCCTCGAAAAAATCAAACTAGAAAGTCATTTGCTAAATGTTAGTGGCTCTCAAAATCTGCCTTCCCAACTCTTCTCCTGTGTTAACCCACCGAAGACCCCATTCCGGGAAGGGGATCTTGGAAATGAGACCTCAAGCAGGACAGCAAAGTGGGGCGATCTGGGGCGGCACTGCCTGACCAAGTGGCCGGCTGGACATACAGGATGGACTCTTGGAGGGAAGGGGGACACTGAAGACCAGTCCTTCTCTCCTGCCGGCTCAGGGCCCTGACACCCACAGAGTGTACCTGCCCGCATCTCGGGAAAAGGCCACCTGGACATCTCCGATGGCAACGCCCCTGCAGATTGCCTTCATGCTGAGCCCCGACGTGATCACTTCTGGGCCGCCTGGGAGGCACACACCACCCTCGGGCCGGAAGCCCCGGACGTCAGCATCCCGGTAGCCTTGGTTCTTGCCGCACTGTTCCAGAAAGATTGCCTTGGCAGAGGCGTCCATGCCCACGTGGACGGTGAGCTGTGTGGACACACAATAGCAGAGACATACCAGGAAACCAAGTCCCTGGTCACTAAATGTGCAAAAGGGCCAAACCCTGGTACAGCCTGGCTCCAGGGTGCAAAATATCCCAAACCCCAAATCCACCATGAAACCCTGGATGCCCCACCTGTGTCTCCTAATTAATATACTCGGAACAAAAAGCAGCCGGGGTTTTTTTTAGCTGAATAGAAACCCATGTTGCACTTACATTTAAATACTTTTATATTTCAAAATATTCTTACGGGGCATCATATTCTCTCTTTTGGTGGGGGGGAGTGGCAAGCTGGTATCTAAGACTGCCAGAGCAGAAGCTTAGTGTTTTCGTGGAATTGTTCAACTTCTTTTTTTTTTTTTTTTTTTATTTTATTTCTTTGCCTCACCCTAGCGAGGGTTAGAGGTGTGCCCTTCCCCTCTAGGAGAATCCCTGGTTCCATAAGATCTCTATTTGTTGTTGTTTGTAAGCTCAGTCCCAGAATCCAGAAGTTCAACTTCTTTTTTTTTTTATTTCGGGATATTATGGGGGTACAAACATTTTGGTTACAAACTATGACTTTGCCTTACCCAAGCCAGGGCTAGAGGTGTGCCCTTCCCCCATACAATGCTCACCGCAACCATTAGTTGTGAGTTTGCCCGCCTCCACCCCCTCAACACCCAGTGAATATTACTACTATGTGAGCACCTTAGTGTTGGTCAGTTAGTACCAATTTGATGGCAAGTACATGTGGTGCTTATTTTTCCATTCTCATATTACCTCACTTTGAAGGATGGGCTCAAGCTCTATCCATGATAATATAAGAGGCACTAGATCATCATTGTTTTTTGTAATTGTGTAGTATTCCATAGTA